GATCAGTGTGCCCTTAGACACAAACTTTTTTTTTTCTCAGACAAGGCTGTTGGCAGTATTTGCTAATATAAATGTTTCACTTTATTTGAAGAATTTCCTTTGGTTATGTGTTTCACATTGATGTTTCTTTGTTTGAAGTATAGTAATAATATGTATTTATTTGGAGTAGACTTAATCCTACACATTTTACAGCCTGTGATGATTAAATCAAAGTAATTATTATTTCTGTCTTCTTAAATATTTATTGTATTTTTGTGCTGGGAAGCTTCAGATCTCTCTATCTGGGTCATCTAAAAGTATATAGCCAAGTGTGATGTATACATTATAGGTGCTGTCACCACACTGCACTGTAGGATCCTAGAATTCAGTCCTTACCTGATTGTATTTGGGAGCATACTATTCGACTCCTTTCCATCCGCTTCATTCTTTCTAGCCTCTAATGATAACTGGTTGACTTTTTATTCTATTAAGTCAATTCTTCACTTCTCGACCAGTGGGAACATACCTTATGCCTTTCTGTGTCTGATTTCTTTCCTTTATGATAACTTCCACCTTCCACTTCTGTTAATATCTCAAAGAATAATTCCATGACGTCCTATTCAGTTTTTCTCTGTTCTACTTCAGACTTTTGTGTTTATTTATTGCTTTAAAATGAGGCAAAGTAATCTATATCACATATTAAGAGGAAGAAATGAAATATATGTCCCTTGTTTTACAAAAGAGGGCATCATTTATTTTGTTTGTTTGTTTGTTTGTTTGTTTTGAGAAAAGTTCCCTTGTAGCCCAGGCTAGCCTCCAACTCTCTGTGTAGCTGAAAATGACCTTGAACTCCTGGTTCTCTTACTTCCACCACTGACTTGCTAGAATTACAAGGCTCTGCCTTCATTGGCTAGCTACGGATGTGTGTATCAGTGGTTGCCTCAGCCAATACATGTGGTAACTTATACCTAACACTCAGCGAGGTTCATGGTTTGGTTCAGTGAGCTTTATCTGTCTTCATTTCCTGGATACTCACATAAACACAGGAGAGAACCCTCATGATACATGACCTCAGGGTGGCAGGGTAGGTACAGGATGGTGCTGAAGAACAGTGAATGTATGCAAGACAAGCATGAACTAACTATCTCTGAGATTTGAACAGTCCAATGAAAATGAGTATTGAAATACAATGAGTTTAATTCACTAATAATATTGGAAAAATAAGAGTAATATAGGAGGCTCTTGTTTCTCAAAGTGAGTGAGTTTTAATATGTTTTGTGTGCTGTGGTACAGTATCTTCAAAAACTCAAAATGATCCTAAAATATCCCTGCCACATGTGACCAAGACAATCACAGTTTATCACATTTTGTCTCATTAGCATCCACACTATGTGTCTACACATAGTATGTGGCTACAGCTAAACCTACAAGTTCATAATAGAATGAATGACAACAGAAAACACTCCTTAGTTAATCTTTTACAGTAGTAGGTGTTAAAATTATATATATATATATATATTGACACACACACACACACACACACACATATATATATATATGTATATATATATATATATATAATGACACATCAAAAAATAACAATGTCAAGAAAGAGACTCCCAGAAGTGAGAGAACTTGCCCAAGTTCACAGTCAGGTCTCTACATAACTATCACATCATACTCCAGAAAAGTCAATGGTACGACTGAATTATGGTTGAAATACTTCATTTGTACATTGAGAAATATCATGCAATGTGTGGAGAGCTAATGAAGTTTTGACTGAATGTGTCAAAACTGATGAGCACAGCCATGTTAAGGACCCCAGTGTCAGACCCATTGGAATGGAAAATCCTTCCCCAGGTCCTACTCAGAGGAATGGCAAAGCCTTTCCCTGATCTAAGTATGGGTGTTGATTCAGAACTTTTGACCTTTAACTAAAACCATTGTATGCAGAAACTATCAATCACAGCTTTCTCCTTCTGGATGATGGCCTGGCCTTCTCTTCTTTCATGCCATATATAATAAACACACTTGGTTTCCAGGCTGCTATCAATGCATCTCTATCAGAGAGTACAGCTCATTCAATCCCTCTCTTCTGTGTGTTTGTCTATTGTTTCTTCATTCTCCATTGCCCCAGTTAGATCTATCCCTAAAGCCACACAGGCCTCAACCACAAAAGTGACTTGAAAGATGAAGAAATGGAAATCTAGGGCTAGTTGTATGGTTTAGCAAGAAAAAGCACTTGCCACCCACCTGACAACCTGAATTCAATTCTCAGGTCCCACATGGTGAAAGGAGAGAGAAATAACTACATGGAGTTGTCCTGGGCATTTTCTTGGTGCCATTGTCCATATACACACAAACTGACCTGCAAAATACACACACACACACACACACACACACACACACACACACACACACACATTAACATGTGTTTTTTGAAACTAAAGTCAGGTATAGTGATAGTTCCTTATAATCCCATATAATCCCAGACCTCAAAAGAATAAAGCTGATGAGTTCAATGCCCATTTGGCTGCACAGTGAGATAGTGAATTCCTGGGTTAAATAGTCAGGTCGTATCTAACTAAAATAAAATAAGAAAGGCAGAACCTCACTCAGAATGTTTGTATATAATCTCTAATTAACCAATGAGCCATTCCATCTGAAAGTCTTTAAAATATGATATTAAAAAATTGATTTTCCTATATTAAATGACTTTCTATGCTATGGTTTCTCTCTCTTGAACATGATTCCATTTGTGCCCTAAGAATCACATGCAATTCTTAAACAAAGCCTTGTAATTATAACAAGATAGTTCACTAAATCTTACATGCTAATGCACATAGGTCAAAAGTTCCACCCTGTGATTTTCTTGAAATTTATATAACAAATATATTTGAATATTATTAAGGCTTCAGAATTGTTAGCCCTCCTATAATCCTTTTATATAGGCAAATATTCTTCTATTTAATGTAAATTCAGTGTTTCTGTATTCCTAATATACCATAGTAAACTTGACTTGGCTTCTTTTAGTTTAATTAAAATGTGATATAAAGCACATTAAACATTGCTAGTATGATACAAATGTTAGGATTTCTATAATTTTATTTTAACTAAAACATTCTAGGTTTAAGCTGTTTACCTCAGTAAGTATTCCTTTGGCCTCTTGATAGTAATATATTAATAATTGAGTACAATTCATATTTTAGAAGATATAATTAGTGACATCATCCATTCTTTAGCTTAATATTTAATAATTCCTTGATACACTTTGTTTTCCCCCCAACTGTGGTGACTTAGTCATATCACCTTTCTGTGTGTATTTCCCAACATCTTTTTAATAATAAATCTTTATACTTTAATGTCAGCACATCAGAGGAGCTGATGTTGTGACATTTTGAAAATTCCCATGCTATTTTAATGATGTTAGAAGAACCAGGAGGCAACAAGGATGTTTGAAAATGCCATAGAGACTCCCTGTCTCTCTCATGAATCCTTAACATGGATTTATTGCCCTATTCTTCCCTTTCTTTCTTTTTTAAAGCAAGATAGATTTTATTAAAACACACATGAATGAGTTTTAATTCTAAACTGCATCTCTAAGCATCTCTGAGCTTAATAATTTTTAAATTAACATAATAACATTGAACAATGTTATTTTTCTTTGTATATAAGTGTATATACATATATATTACATATAATACAGCTTTCACTTTGTCATAAAATATTACTGAACATATTAACTTGAACATCAATAAAATACCTACTTCGGTTTATGAAAGTGTTGTGTATACTTACAATGCACTATAAGTAGGATAGTCCCTGTATGAAAATAATATTTTATGTTCTTTAAATAGCTTCTATTTTGAGTGTTTGGTGAAAAGGTGATTATCTTCAATTGAATAAATATGTATTTTTGTACTTTTTAACTTGAGGATTTTAAAAGACTTACTTTTCACTGTGGGAATTTTACCATTAAGCCATAAAAGAAGTAGTAGGCTCAGTATTTTTGCTGGGCCGTTTGTGATTGTTTCTTTCTGAATTTTAAAGCTGTGTTTGTGAGAACTCAGAACCTAAAGTAGCTTCACACTCAGGAGAAGTGGATGCTATGCTTGACAACTTCAGTCACTTTTGTTATTCTAGTGTCAGGACAATAATTCAGGGAAGTAACTATTTGCACATTCTTGTGTGACTTTTCCTAGGGTGCCATGAGCACATGGGTGCTCACCTCAGAGCATTGACAACAGCCCACAGAAATTACTCGTCTAGCTAAGAAGCCGTGTATTTTCTGGGGTAACTGACAGAGAGGCCCAGGTGGTGCAAAAACAGCTGCACTACTGTGAGCAACACCTGGTGTAGGTGACCACTAATAAAGGCTGAAATTGATGGAATGTTGCACACAGATTCCAGGACATAAGAGAATGGGAAGGGACCTTGTGATGTTTCTGGAGAAGCTTCAAGATTCTTGTCAATTTCATGAGTTTTCTGAACCTCATGGATTTGGTTATTTTCCTAAGTCTGGAGATATCCCATGGGGGAATGTTTCAGTTCTGAGGAATTCGCCTCAAAATACACCTTCATTTATTTAATTAATTTAAATCAATTATTTAAAACACTTAATAATACTCTATACATTTATACTGCTTACGTGAAGTATAGAAGTATTACATCTGGCTAAAGTTTGAACAGTACACTTTGTTTTTGATAAAAAGAACAGCATTTGCCAGGTGGTCGTGGTGTTAATCCCAGCACTTGGGAGGCAGAGGCAGGCGGATCTCTATGAGTTCGAGACCAGCCTGGTCTACAGAGCCAGATCCAGGACAGGCACCAAAACTACACAGAGAAGCCCTGTCTTAAAAAAAAAAGAAAGAAAGAAAGAAAGAAAGAAAGAAAAGAAAGAAAGAAAAGAATAATTAAAAAAAAAACATTTAAGTTTAATTGCTCAAATAGATGAGTATAAAACCTGCTGTTGGTTCTCAGTAGCAGCCTATCTCACTAAATGTATGTCTTTTGTCTTTCAGCATCCCCATCAATTAAGCTTTTGGTGGATGATCCTATAGTTGTAAATCCTGGAGAGGCCATAACATTAGTGTGTGTTACGACAGGAGGAGAGCCAACACCCTCTCTCACCTGGGTCAGATCCTTTGGGACTCTGCCTGAAAAGATTGTTTTGAATGGAGGGACGTTGACCATACCTGCCATCACCTCAGATGATGCTGGTACTTATAGCTGCATTGCCAATAATAATGTGGGAAACCCTGCAAAAAAGTCCACCAACATCATTGTGAGAGGTAAGTTCATCTGCAGAGGAAATAAATACTGTCATGTTTAATTTAAAAATATTTTCTCAAATATTGACTTCATATGCAAAATATTGAGAAAATGTTTATAAAAAATCAGATATGTCATCAGAACTAGAATCTGAAAATCTTAAATCCTAATGATATTTAATTTACATGAAAGAAATTTACAACATACTTACAATGAAGTATGGGCTTGTACTTAAAATATGTTATCGGTAAAACATAATTAATAAAGTGTTACATAAATATAAAATATACATAGAGCATATGTCAGTTTAGACAGTTAATAAATTTATCAGATTTATGATTTGTCATTATTTATAGAACTCCATTTATAAGAAGACTTTACATTTTGATGTATAGAGATTTAGATATGTTCTCATACTTAAATGATTCTACTTACATACATTGAGTATAAAATATAGTGATAATTGCAGAATGTGATTTGGAAAGCATAAAAGGTAGATATAAATATTTAAAAACTATTATCAACTTCTTTTTCACTGAGGTTATTAAGAAATTTATAAAGACATTCATACTCAGTTGAGTAATGTTTGAGGAGACCTCAATGAAACAGACTTGGAAAAGTCATAAAAAGAAAACAAAGTTTTTTTGAGGGACTAGAGCAAAACATGAGTCCCTAAACTAGCAGGAACAGGGAGACTAGTGTGGTGGCTACCAACTAATATGTTGATGGTGTATGTAGCCCTACTATTGGAGGAGATAAAGGAGTTAAGAAGGACTTCAAAGAGAACTTATGTTCTTTGTGTCATAGTAACCTAACATGGTACTGGGTAGGGGTGGAAATGGACAATGATGCCTTTCAGGTTAATAGGGACATCCACAGAACCAAGAAGACCCTCTGCACAAAGCAGATTATTGTGTGAGTGAAACATAATTGGGTCCATTGACATTAATGTGTGGTTGTTTTGTGGATTATTGTAGTGATTTCAGTGATCCCAGCTCAGTGTGTCAATGTACAAATTATTAGAAATATACTCTTGACAAATTATACTTTTAAAAAAGAATGTAAATTATTATAGTATAAACCCAAACACTATGGCTCATGCCCTCAGCTGCATAATTGTTGGCCATAGTATAGTCAGTAACTGTGAGATGCGTTAAACCATCCCTTTATGCATCATGATAAAATGCAGTAGAACCAATAAAACTATCATAATGCTTCTTCATGGGATTAAAAAGGTTAGACCCAATAATCCTGAGGTGATTCTTAGTATTGTCAAAATGAGATTCTTTTAGGGGCTGTTATATTGAACAACCAGAGTCTATCATCCATCATACACCAACTGTTTAAAAATGAAAGAAATGGGGGAAAAGTGTACAGTAGGCAGTATTTGTTTTCTGTTTGTTTGTGTTTGCTTTTAAAATGCTTGTATTATCAAAGAGATGTGAAATAGTCTGTCAAATCTTGCTGTAGAAAGCATTGCAACAATGCATTGCCCGAAGTGTCACAGATCCAATAGTGAATACCTTATTATATTGTTTCATCAAAGAAACAAGTTCACTTGAGAAAAAGTGACAAGTTCCATCTAGTTTACAGAGTAGAGTAATTTATAACACTGAATCCAAGGGCAGCCAAAGTGTCTGTGTTTTCAGGCATCCTCTGGAAAGGTAAATGCACAGCAATGCTTTCTGCCTTCAGTTTTCATCACTCCAAAGGAAACTTTACAACTCCTACACAAGTAATATGAATGAAGTAAAGACTTAAAAATTATTTATCTGATGTACAATTTCTCTTTCTTCCTTTAATTTTTCTAAAATGTATATTTGCATAATCATATTATCTTACCAGTAGGACTTCTCAGGAGTGACATTAAAATAATCAGCAAATTGAGATTTTGTATAATGTTACTGAATATAATGATAGCCTAATGGATGCCGAGTTAATCTGGGGAGATACTACAATAATTCCAGATATCTGTCTTCTGTCCAAGGGCAAGAAAACAAGCGTAAAGAACAAGATTTTATTTTGCTATTTCTTTTCAGTTATTCTCCAGTCTATAGGACCCCAGTCTCCCTGTATCACAGATGAGGAGAAATGCAGAATGCTGGATTTAATTCTGTCTACATGAGAATCCATAGGTAGATCAAGGATGTATTGTTCTTAAAAAAATCGGCATTTCTGCCTGTGAGTGTCTACATACAGAAGAAGAGAATAGTGTTCAAAGAGGAATGAAACTTCGGAAACATGTCTGAACTCTTTCTTTGATATTTTCCTTTTTTTATCTAAAAGTGTTTCATACAGGATATTTTGATGATATGTGTCCCCTTCCCCAACTCCTCCACTTTCTCCCCACATTCCTACTGATCCAACCTAATGTCCCCATCACAAAAAAGAAAATCAAACATCAAAAACCTGTAAGACAAAATTAAAATGCCAAACAAATAAAAATGAAACAAATGCCTACAACACTGAGATAGATAGATAGATAGATAGATAGATAGATAGATAGATAGATAGATAGATAGATCAATAAATAGGTCATTTTGTGTTGGCCAACTACTTCTTAGCATGGGCCTGCTCTTGAGTGTGATTGAAATATCCAGTGACACTCCATTGGTGAAATTGATTTTCCTTTTGCTGGTGGGTATCAATTGCAAAGTATTTTCGTGGTTAAGCATGGAACTCCCTGTCCACTTCCCCTTCTCAGTGTTTGGACCCATCCAGCTTAATCTTGGGCAGTCCCTATGGATGCTGCCACAGATTCTGAGAGTTCATGTGTACTATAGCCCTGCTGTGTCTGGAAGACACTGTTTCTTTGGCTCTAAGAACCTTCTGCCTCCTTTTCTACATAGATCCCTGAGCCTGAGCACAGGGGTTTGATGAAGACACCCTACATAAAACTGAGTGTTCCAATATCTTTCACTCTCCACAAATTATCTGCTTGTGAGTCTCTTTGTTAATTTCCACTTACTACAGGAAGAAGCTTCAACGATAAGCACCTGAACAAAGCACTTATCTATAGGTAAAACAATATTTCCTAAGGAGACATTTTATTGCCATATTCCTTTAGCAGAATAATAGAATTAGGTTTTCCCCTATGCTCATAATCTCTCTAGTCTCAGGTTCTTGTTCTCTTTAGCAGTATCAGTGTCAGGTATATGTTCCAGCTCATGAAGTGGACCTTAAATCCAATAAATAAGTGATTAACTCCTCCCATAACGTTTGTGCCACCATTACTCTACCATTTCAACTAAAATCAGAAACAAGACCTTTCCTTAAAAATAAAAACTTTTTAAAGTAAAATACATGTGTGATTCACATATATTGTTTTCTGTATGCAATATCTCATTCCATAAATACAGCAATCTCAAGCTGAATATGAATTTCATGGTTTTCAGTCTGAATAGGAGATTTATGACCAAGGCAGAAATGCTTCTCATATGAACTTTAAAATTTTTACAGTGATTGAGGCACATTTTCCTAAGTCAAGCAAGAAGCAGTTGCCTGATAAGTGTGAAAAGAAAATTATGTTGATTCCTAATCTCATCCTGGGTGACTGAGCTCAATGCATTCCATACTGCTGTTAGATAATGTGTTATTTCCATTTGAAGTTTTCTGTTGTGATTCACTAGGTTTAGAAATATCCACACTTCTTCTGTCATGATTAAGTCACTATTGAATGAGCATGGATAGTAACATAGTCAAGAAATTCTTGGCATATTTTAGTGTATTGTGGGATTTTTAAATGTGCTACAGTGCATTCAAATCACATATGCATATATGATCCAAAAAAAGCATGAACTCTAGGTGTGTTTCCTTTGACCCAGTTTAGGTACATTTGGGGCTGGAAACTTGCAGTGAGGAAAGAAGGTGAAGTATGGTTAACTTTTATTCTTTTCATTTGTTAATTCTCTACTCTCCTCTCTACCATGCCTTTCTCATACCTTCCTAATGGAGGCCATCTTTACAAAGAACATTTCTTTGGTCCTTATGCAGCATGAGTGATCTCAAGAGATATTTTTCTTAGATAATATATCTGTGGGCATGGAGAACTGTTCAGTCTGTGAGGGATGTGGAAGGAAAGACGGGGAAGATGAAAGAAGGGATACAAAAGGGTAAACAGAGGTGTAAATATGACCAAAGTGTTATAAGTATGTACCATATGTAACAATTTGTACAATTCATACATGACAATAAAATTGAAAGAAAAATGTGTCCTCTGAAGAGAAGCTTTAAAGAATCCATTAATATGCAACGATCTTGAATATCCCATTATTTCAAATCTCTCTCTCTGTCTCTCTGTCTCTCTCTCTCTGTCTCTCTCTCTGTCTCTCTC